TACTTTATTCCTATATTTAATCGTACAACTAGATACGTACTTCCTCTTCTTCTCTTTTACTCCCTATAGTTAATTATTTATTATATTTGTTGAATTAGTAGTATTATAGGGCTAGCGCCTAGGATTAAAGACTCGGCTTTACTAAGTCTGCCAAGCCGGGATTGGCCGTATTGATAAGGATGCGCGCCTTCTAGTTGGTCGGATCCACATATTTGCCTGGCCCGTACGGTCTTAGCGTACTATATAAAACCTTCTCTCAATTGTACCCTTCTAGTACAGTCTTCCTTTACTCTCTTTATTAAATATAGTATTTCAACTATATACGATTACTTATTGTATAATACTCTAATAGACCTGTTATATTATATTTAACCCTCTTTTTAAGACCCGTTACTATTCTCCCGTAAGTACGCTCGAAGAGTCTCTCTCCGTTGCTCTTATTCTTCAACGATAATCCTTATCCGTAATAATCGTTTTTACTAACTAAATCCCTTCGCTACCGCTCCTCTCGACAATAGTACTAATATAAATCCCGTAGTTATTATAGAAATATACTGTTAAGTATAAGATACGATATACGTTATTATACAAGGGAAGTGGAAGAGGTATACGCAGCTAGGGTAAAATATAGGGCATGGGTGAGATCTACTTATAGATGGATCTATTACGTAACCTCTTACCTACGGTAAGCCTAGTACTATAGTATTAAGTATAGTAAATATACTAACTATAGTACTACTTATAATAGGGATAGTACGGTTAATACGGGTACTGGTTGTATAGCTTAATTAAAGTTCTATAAAGGAGGAAAAGTCTATTTAAAATACGGATCTACCGGCGTTAAGAGGTTTTTATTAGGGCTGCGCGCTCTACGCTATTGTAGTTAATAATAGCTCTAATTTTGGAGATTAGAGTTTATAACCCGAGCGCTAGCCCTATAATATTACCCCCCTCCTCCCCCTCCCTCTCTGCCCCTCTCTTACCTACCTTTATAGTTAGTCCCTAATGTATTCGCAACTTCTATTTCAATTGTAAGCTCATCTCCTATATAGCTAACCGATATATTTGTACTTTTTATTTAGTATAGTAATTATAATATTAAATAATAGTTAGTAGTAGGTAATAATAGGTAGTAGGTAGTAGTCTTAGCGTTTACGCTCTCTAAATTTTTATATATAATCCTCCTCCCCTTCGTTTTTTAAATTTCTCCCTCTTTTCTTCTTTTTTTTAGTAATAGTTTAATCCCCTAAAGTAAATAATATTATTCCCTTCTCTATCTAATACTAACTTATCTCCTCCGACTATCCTAATATTTTTAAATACTTTATTATATATTATCCTCCTCCGCTAATTCGGCTTCGCTTCCGGGTTCTAACCCCTAAACCCCTTATACTATTAGAAATAATCCGTTAACCCCCGCCTCCGCCCGCCCTAATACTTCGCCCTCCGGCCTTCCCCCCTAAGGCTCCTCCCTACTAGCGCCGGCCCCCCTAATTCCCCCCCCGTAAATTCTAATGTACCCCTCCCCTCCGGCCGCTACCTCTAGCCCCCGCTATCCGGCGGTTATTACTACTATAATTCTCTCAAATTTATACTTAGTAAAAAAGTATTAAATTAAAGTAAATTCTTTTTTTTTATATTCTACTCCCTTAAAATCTCCCCTCCAACGTTATTTTATTATTAACCTTTTTACAATAATTGGAGTACGAAGAATCTATTATACCTTATATTATTTATTTAAATATAGAGTAGGTTTATTTTATAGTATTTAATTGTATTATATATATTAATTATTATAATTATAGTAAATAGTATAATTAAATATTACCTATAACCCTACGTACAACCGCTATTTAAAAGGCGGCGACCGGCGTTATAATTAAAGTAGTAATAAAGGAGAACTTTAATTAATATATAAATATTTAGAGGAATACTACCGAACTATATAAGAAGGGATTTATTAATTAATATATTATTTTTACCCTTTTCTTTTTATTTCTCTACCTACTCTAGAACTTTAATACTAATTTCTTTCTTCTTTTTTTTATTTAATTAACTACGAATATTTATATTATATTAAAGCGGTATCCCCCCTCCCCCCTTCCCTTCCATTAATAGTACCCTTTCCCTACGAGTTAAAAGTAATTCAGAATTGGGTAGTGGCTTTAAAAGTAAGGATAAATATAATAAAAGTAGGAGATAATTATAAAAAAAAGATTTAGAAGAAGTAGAAAAATTTAGAATTAATATTGTTCCCTTCTTTCCTTTTTGCAATTAATATTATTATTTTTTATATTTAATAATAAAATATTCGGCCGGATTATTATTAGTAATAGTTAAGCTATATTTAATTTTAAAGTAGTTTAATACTATAATATTAAATATTATTTATAAGGGTTCCTATATTTATTCCGCCCATCCTACCTACTTTATTAATACTTCTCTATATCCTTTCCTTATTTAATAGTATAAGATTTCTTCTATAAAGTATTCTTTTTTATTATTAATTATAATAGTTAAGGGTTAGGGGTTAGTAATAATTTACCTTAGTAGGGGATTATTTTAAGTACGTTATAGGAAATTTATATAAAATTTATTAAAGACCCCTATAGTAAAATTAATAAACTTTATAACGTATAGGTTAAGAACTTTTAAAACCGTATATTTAATGTAAACCCAATTTAACTTCTTTTTGGGGCGTTCAATTCTAAAATTCTTAAAGTTTAGCTATATTTTATCCCCTTCCTTAAAGACTTTAGCTAATTACCTCTTACAATTTATAAAATATTCCTAATCCTATACTAAGATAATTATTATTGCTTAGTAAAGATTTATAATTTATTATAACTATATAATAAAGCTTTTAATTCTCTTCTATAGGTCGGTAAATTCGGTTTTTATTAATTAGGTTATAACGGTTATAGAGGATTATAAATAATAGCTATAGGTAATAAAAAATAGAAATATTCTAATTATAATACTAATTCTACTATTAATTATTAATTATATAGCGGAGTATTAATAGTCCTAATTATTTTTACGTATAATTTATAAAAGTTCTTTCAAATATTTATATTTTTTAATTTATACGCTCTAGCCCGCCGTCGGTTTGGGAATAGAAGGTTATATTTAATTACTACTCTATTTTAAAGAAATTATAAATGTATTTCTAAAAGCTATTAATTTAATTAAGACTTTTATTATTAATAATAAACTAGGGCTAATTATAGTAATATACAAAATATTATAAGAAAGCTTTAATAACTATTCCTACTTCTATAGTAAGTATAGGCTTTAAGATTACTATTTTACTAAGCCGGTCTTTAATAATTAAAAGGTTTATATAATCCTTTGAGGGTAGGAGGTTGGTAATAAAATCTATTTAAATATTTTTAAAGAATTAATCCGGGATCGGTAATAGTTAAAATAATCTACTCTTTTATTCTCTTTAATATTTAACCCTCTTATAAGTATTATAATTCTCTATAAACTAATAAATATAAATACCTATTAACGGCTAATAAAAATTTCTATTAACGGTGTATATTATTCCTTCTCTCCTAAGGTAGTTAAGGGTAATTAAGTCGTATATCCCTTAGATAACGTACGTACGTAGAGTATTTTTTTCTAAATCCTTTAGAGATATATAGAGGGCGGTTGCTTTTATAATAATTAGGGTTCCGGAAATTTAAATATAGTTTTAATACTACAATCTCCCTAAATTATTAATTGAATATTCTCCTAATTGTATTTTTAGGCTTTAGGTTATAGTAGGAAGGCTTCGGTCGCTATTAGTAATTATTTAGAGGATATTCTAGTAGATTATATTCATTAAGCAATCTTCTTATAGAATTACTATAATTCCGGATTTTTAAATACCTTTATACCCTCCCTTATAGTTATTAGAGAGGCTACTATATAAATATAATTCTTAAGAGCCTTTTACGAAATTAATTATATTTCCTTTACTTTTATATTCTCTTTATTATATTTATTCTAATTCCGCTGGAATAAAGTATTAAATACTATAATAAATTTGCCCGGACAATATTAAATTTCGAAATTAAATTCTCAGAGAAGTTTAACCTAATATATTTAATATTCAAAGAGTTTCTACCTCTCTATAAAATACTTAAAATTCTAATAATTAGTAATAATAATGAATTTTTTATAATTTTCAAACTCTATTAATTACTCTTCTAAATATTATACGATTGCTAATATTTCTTTATTACAAGTTAAGTAATTATATTCTATAAAAGTAAATTTCTAAGAATAATATGCAGCTATAGTTTTCCTACTATTCCTCTCCTATATAAAAATACCGCGGAACCTATAATTACTATAATTAGCCTTTAAAAATATAAATAGATCGGAATCATACTATATAAGGATAGGGGCTTCTATAAAAAGCATTTTCAACTATTGGAATGCTAAGTCGCATTTAATAATTTACTCGAAAGGGACCCCCTTCCTTATAAATATAATAAATAGTTTTACTATAAAAGAGAAATCCTTAATAAATATATAATAGTAGTTAGCGAAGTTAAAGAAGTTCCTTACTCCTTTCTATAATATTAAAGCTATTTAATCTATAATAGTTTTAATCTTTTTAAAGTCTATTTAGATACCTACGCTTATAATAATAATAAAGCCGAGGTATTTTATACTTTTAATAATAAATTTATACTTTTAGGGTTTAAATAGAGTTTAATTATAGTTAACTACTCTATTACCTTATAGATTTTTACTAAATAGTCTTTTTTCGACCTAATTGAAAAAATTAGTATATTATTTATATAAATTAAAGCGAAACTGTTAAAGTAATTACTAAAAATACTATTAATATACTGTTAGAAGGTTGTTAGAATTCTTAATAATTTAAATAGTATTATAAATTATTTTAATAGATTATATTACGTACGGAAGACTATTTTCCCTTCCTCTCCTTCAATTATACGAATTTTATAAAATACTTATACTATATTTATTTTAATAAATTATTTTACTTTAATTATAATACGGAAGGTTTCTTTTATTAAAGGCAGAGGGTAATAGTTGGCTCTCGTAATAATATTTAGAGCCCGGTAATTGTAATAGAATTGTAAATTACTACTTAGCTTCCGAATAAAGAGGATAGGTATTATAATTAGGGAGTTACTAGCGCGGATAAACCCCTTATTAAAGAGGTCTCTAAGCATTTTCTTTAATACTAAAAATTCTTTTCAGGATATACTATAGAATAGACTATAGGGGAGTAGTATTTCCCTACTACTTTCGTTCTTTTTAATTTCTACTTTATAATTAATATTAGAATAATATGGGTTAACCTTATCTACCTCCGATTACCTTTATATGTAGAATAAGTCGTATATATTAATGGGAATTCTTTCCTTTAATTCCTTACTAATTATATTAACCTTAAGTTTGAAAACCTTCTTAATATTTCGTAGGCTAATAGTAAATATTGCTACTTCTGCAATTTTTCTACTACTCTTCTTCTTAATCCTATTTAATATAGTTATAAAAGTCGTAACTAAATAGTAAACGGCTTCTCTAATCTCTATAGCGCAAAGAGAAGATTCCTTAAATATATATCCTAAATATAGGATTTAAGACCCAATTACTCCGTACTAAAATCTAGACTTATATAGAATTAATAGGCTTTTATAATAATTAATTATAATTTTCCTAATATTATAGAGAATTCTAGCTTAGGAATTACGTAAGTATAGACGATTGATTTGTAATTATAAATATCTACCCTAAAATAAATAATACTTTTAATTTCTATACCTTCTATTTTAGCGGAGGCGCCCCTAATTTATTTCTTAGGAATTAGAATTACCGGAATCTTCAACTTCTTAATAATTTTCTTACTAATAATAATATAATAATAATAACCTTTATTAACAAAGGTATAAAATTGATTTTTATTAATAATAGTAATAAAGATTTTAATAATATTTATTTCTATAAGATTTAGGAAATTCGAAGCTCCTACCTCCTTATTTAATACTCCTATCTATTTCTATAACCGGCTTTATATAGGAGTTACTCTTTTTCCAACCCTTCCGAGGACGAATCGTTTATATTTTTTAATAACGGTTCGATTTAAGATTTAACTTTAATAATTTTTATACTAATATTATTAGGACGTTGGGCTGGTCTATATATATAATTGTTAATTATATATTTATTAGCCCTATAATATAAGTAAAGCCCGGTTGAGCGTTATTTATTATATTCCTCTTAAAAAATTTATTTAATATATTTAGCGTCCTTATTATATTTTTTACTTTTAGTTTTAGTAGTGCCTATCGTTATATATATATTGCTATTATCGTCCTTCGAGGGTAAATTTATAGTTTATTTTTATTAGGAGAAAGACTTCCAATAGCGGCTAATAGTTCCCTTACTACTCCCGCTAATTTTATAGAAGGCTCGGCTTACTTCGAACTATTAAATAATATTTTTCAAATCTTCTATATATTTATTATATATTTTAAGTATTCGAACCGAAATTAATTAATTGTATAGAGCGTTAAATATAGAAGTATTTAATTAGGCGAATTGGGATTTATTTTTCTATATAAAGCCTCCTACTTTTATTAAAATCTTTTTAAAGATTGGGAAGAAATCAATGAAATTCTAATTCTCGTATTAATAAATAATTCGTAGGCGAATTAATAAGAACTACTTCTTATTTTCACTACCGAAAATTAACTCTAAATAATTAAATTAATTAATAGGGTGGTAGGAATTATTAATATATCCTTAGTACTAGAAAACTTCTACCTTAATTATTTTATTACTAAGGAATATATCGAATAGTATTAACTATCCCAATCTATTATTAGAAATCGCTCTAATTACTCTCTCCTCTTTATATATAAAGTATAGCCGCATAAAAAATAGGGAGAAAGTTAAAGTAAATCCGTCCTACTTCGATTATTAAATATTTTTATATTTAGTATTAGGAATAGTAATAGGGGCAGTTTCTTAAGTAGTATTAATTATAACGCTAGGGGTAATAGTAGTTATATAAGTAATTGCTTAAACGAATATTTAAGGGTTACTTTATATTCTTTATATAATAGGTAGTGCGCTAATAGCGGCTTTAACGGCATTGGCGAATACTATACTTATAAAAAACTTTTAATAAAATTGTCACTCTCTATTTATTAGGCTTCTGCCTATTGCGCTGCTTCTTCTTTTGCGTTCGATATGGTGTACTACTACCTTTATTACTATAGTAGTAGTATATTTTAATCTATCGGTTCTATTGGTTGATAGAACCTAATATAATAGGGATAGTACGGTTAATATAAGTATTAATTGTATAATTTAATTAAGGTTTTATAAAGGAGGAAAAGTCTATTTGAAATACGGATCCACCGGCGCTGACAGGTTTTAATTAGGGCTGCGCGCTCTGCGCTACTATGGCTAATAACAACTCTAATCTTAGAGACCAGAGTCTATAACCCGGGCGCTAGCCCTATAACACTACTAGTATAGGGTATGTAATCTAGCCCTATAATACTACCCTCTTGTAAAAGAGCTCCCCTTGTATAGAGAATTGCTAAATATATTACTTTGCCCTTTAATATCTCTAAAGTAGGTCTTCCCGGTTACGTTGTAGATGCGCTTAATTATTTACCAACAAAAATTTTTAGCGCCCCTACTAAGGCGGGAAGCCGCTTAGCGCTTAAATTCCTACTTAGAGGTAGAATACTAGCTAAAATATTACTAACTTAGCCCTTCTAGTTGTAAAAGCTATTATTACCCTTAATAATCTATTTATACGTTGTAAATTAGCCTAATTACTATATATAGAGAACTTTAACGACCTTTTCTATTACTAGCCCCCCCGCGGGTACTATAGGGACGCTCGTAATATAGCGGTTTGCATAGGACGCTTATAACCGCTATTAGTATAAATAGCGTAGAGACTCCTAATTCGAATTTCGCTAGTAATTATTTGTAAATATTCTTACTAATTTTCCCCTCCTCTAACTCCCCCAATTATTATTTCTACTAACTCTAGTTTATTTAATTTTATTTTGGTAGGAGTAGGCTTCTAGGGAGAAATAGGAGAGTAGAACTATTGTAAAATGTATTATTTTTTAGTACTATTAATAGTTGCCCTACAAAAGGGGATATATTAAGAGGTATTCAATTAGGGTATGTAGAATAAGTTGCGCTAAATTCCTTTCTTTTTTATTGAATTTACTCTTTTTACCTTAAGATTCGTACGCTTCGTTGTAGTTGAGGTGAGTCTAAGTCGGTAGTAAGGTTTGAATTAGCTATAGGATTTAATAGTAATACTATTTCAAATATTAATTTTTTTTTTAGTCTCCTTTTTACTTACTATCTCTTAACTTATATTAGTAGTAGTAATATATTAGAATTATTATCGTAGAACTTTTAGATGGTATTATTATACTTCTTTAAGTCCCTACCCGGTTGCTAAGTAGGTTCGTTAATATCTTTCTATTTGATTTAATATATTTATTCGCCGTTATTTACCTTACTATATCCTACAATACTTTCGAATTCCTATTTCTACTATTTATTATTATTATTATTATCGGTGCGGGTTATAGTGCGCCTTTAGTTGGTTAGGATATTTTATTCGATATTTTATTATTCCGGGAGGTTTAATATTTCTTATAGTTTAATTATAGATATATAAAATACTAGGTTAACCTTTATATTCTTTAGGAGCTTAAGTTTTATCTAATAAGAATTGTATTTAAGGATGTAGAATAGGCCTTCCTATTTGGGTATTAATTTGGTTTATAGTCTTCCTATAGCGAAGTTCTTTATATTTAATAGAATTTTGTCCGTAATATAATATTTTAATATATTTCTATAATTTTTATTCGTATTCGCTTTGTACCGGTCCTACGCTTGCTTAGATAGGGCTACTATTCCGTTTAAAATAGTTTAAAAATAGTTAGCAACTTCCGAAGCTTTGAAGAACTCCTTCTTTTATACTTTAAAGGGATTTAGTAGGTATAATTTAGCCGGTTCAATACCTATACGAGGGTAAAAACTATAGTTAATATAGAATAGATTAATATTAATAGTTTTAAATATTGTATTATTATATACAAATTCCGCTAGAGGTAGTTAGTCTATTTAGTTGTCCTAAGTCTAGTTAATATAAAGCTGAAGGTATTACTCTATTTCGGTGTTAATCCTCTCCGTTTAACTATTAGTTTAGGAATAGAAGGCCAATAATAATTTGATTATAATGCCTAGCCTATTATATAGGGTCTTCTAGAATATTAAAATAAATTAGGAACTTTTATTAAATATAATACTATTGGGTAGATTATAAATATTAAAGATTCTTTCAATAAACTATTTAATTAATTTATTTATTTCTAAAGTTTTTATAGGGATATAATACTATATTTTAGTTAACCGGTCGATCATTACGGTTATATATTAATAAGTCCTACCCCGTTTTATATATAGTATTATTAGCGTGACGTAGTCTATTGAAATTTCTGTCCAGGATTTAAATAAGATTAGGAAAGGTTTTAGGAAATTAGCTAGAAAATAGCGAAAGGACTTCGTTTTTGCGTATACTAGGTATACTTTATAATACTCCTTAATTAATTAATATATTTTTAATTAGTAATTGAATTTATTGAAAGCTTCGTATATTCGTTTACGCCCGGGGTACCCTCCTAGTTTTACTATATATATTTTATAAATTAATTATAATTAGGTACTTCTATTATTAGAATTAATAAATACCCTCTCTTCCGTATCCTTCTTCTAGTAAATACGGCCCTACTCTGTTGAATATTCGGCAAAGGCGATTTTAAACTTCTTTTTAATTTCCGTAATCTATAAATATTGGTTCTTTTTTTATAGATATAAAACCATTTCTTATATTAAATTAGACTTTATGAAACTATTATTGATAAAGTTATCAGTAGATTTCGCTACGTCGAATTTATATAGGTTGAGCTCCTAAAAGTCCAATTTTTAATCATATAGGTCTAAGGCGTGGCTTATATAGTAAACTTCCTTTATAACTCCCAAATATAGGTAATTAATATTTCTATCTTCTTCCTTAAAGAAAATTGGGTCGAAGTAGTCCGGGTTAATAAGTAACTTCTTTCTTACTATTAATCGTTCGTCGGTTGCCTCCCGCAACCTATCTTTTAATTTCTTATTTAATATATTAGGGCGGATATTATCCGAG